TGTGTGTGTGTGTGTGTTGCACTGCCTGACTCACAGCATTGGTGGTACTCATGATGTCATTACTGGCCTGGTGTCAGACTGGGGTGTGCTGTTTGGAGGCCTAACCATGTGCTGATGTCACGTAGCTAATCCACAGCTTGTTTGTGTGTGTGCCTTTTACTACCATCCTACCTCTGCGGTGGCTTTGTGCCCTCCTCTTTTGGCTTTGTACGGGGGCCCGTTGTTTGTGTTCTGTGGTTTCCTACTCACCCTGGGCCCCAGCGTTACACTCACGCACACAGGCATGCATACGTACACAACCAAGTGTTTTGTTACAGAGTGATGCACTAGCTAAACATGTACATTGTAAGTTAACACCCGAGGCAAGGAAACATGCCTCTTCCTGAGAAGAAATGCGTCACACTGCCCATAACGCACCTGTTAAAGCTCCAAATTCCCCTACATCATTAGCCTGGTACAGTCCGCCCGTGACCACACCGGGTAGATAATAGGTCAGACCAATTCTGACTTGGGATTTTTCAGCTGCACTTCAGTGTGGAGGCCAGTAGAGAGCAGGGCAGAGTGGAGATATATTTACTGAGGAAAAGGGAGCATTTTCACCAGCTTTCTTGTGTACTTGCTTGTGTTTTGTTTAATTTGAAGATGCGAGAGTTGTTTATTTACCTAATGGCGTTCGCGTGATATTTCAGAGTTACGTGTCAGACAAGGGCTTGAGCTCACATTACTGGAATGATAATAGCAGCTTTCCTGAATCCAGGGGCGGGATGGAGGGGGGGGTTGAGTGGGGGATAACTTCCCCTCACCGACCCTCTCCTCTCCTCTCTTCTTCCTCCATACTTACCCTCTTTCTCTAAGCACATGGATGCTGAAGTCCCCGTGATGTTTTCCAGATGCCTTAGCTCAGCGAGTGCATTGACAAAAACCTACCTCTCCTCTTCCAATCGCTCTCACTCGCTCTCTCCCAGTCCTTCATGCACACACTCACTCGCTCTATCCTGCAGCTCACTGTCTTGTTAAAGAGACACTTCCTTGGCCCAACAAACTTCCTGGATATAATCCTATAAAACAATGGCTTACTCTGTGGACACATGGCCTCCCTCCACTTCAAAATGGGATGACAGTCTCTGTGGGTGCATATGTGTGTGTTATATATGTATAAGTATGCACATATAAGTATCATCCTGTATGCATATTTTAAAAAGCGTCCTTCTTCTTGTGCCTGGATGTGTGTGCTGGCTTGTGTGGGGCATTTGTGACCGCACAGATTGTGACCTCTGTGTTTGTGTGTCTTGGCCTTTGTTCCACTGTGCTGATTAGCCATTAGCCAGTGGCTGCCCTCTCCCATTCTCCCCATAGTAAGAGAATCTCTCGCCATTGTCGTCCAAGCCCAGGCCCTTCAAAGAAATCACAGACACACATACACACACATACACGCAGTGAGATCCCGGGTGACTGCCAGACTTAATCCCAGCCCTCATTTTGGGGTTTAATGACCTCAGGCAGTGGAATTACCCCGTCACAGTTGCTCTGCGGGCTGCTGTCTCGTGCATGTTCACCCTGCCGTCATGCTGACGGTAACTGAGATGAGAGCGTCTGTCCGAGTCCGCCTCTCATCGCTTGCGCACCCACAGGCCTGGTCGTGAAAGCAAACACACAGAGGACAGTGACAGTGGTGTCATTTGCTCCGTATGCTGCCCTGAGTTGTTGTCATGATATAAATTACAGAAATGTTGGACTTCTCTGTGACTCCCTGCCAATGCAATGACTCATTACAAATGTTCCTTGAATAATGATTAAAGGGCCACTCTCCACACCACGATCAGTTTACTTGTTGGGAGTATTACACATCCAGTGAACACAGTTAATGTGATATCTTCAGGGTTATCTTGGATTGGGCTGGGATACTACAATATTAATAACATAAGGCTTGCTTGTAATAAACTAAAGGTGTGGAGTCTGAAAGACAGGAGGCAATTTGGTTGAATTTTTAGTCAAAACAGTCTAAAACCCAAAGTTATTCAGTTTACAGTGATATAAAACATATTTTTGCTTGGCTTGGATGACCAGAACAATGACTTGATTATCAATTAATAGAGTAGAACTTTAGTTAAAAAACTTTTCTGCTGATATATTAATCAACTAAGGCTTTGTAAATCTTTTTGTATGTAAATCATTATAAAATTGAATTCTTGGGATCAAATGCATACAGAGTGGGACTAAAGATTTTCATATGTGCTTTCAGATCATATGCAGTCTAAGTAACATTTTCAATGTTAGGTACCTCTCTGTGTTACCTTGTTTGACATTGTATGCCTGTCTCTCTCTCCTGCAGGGCGCCCTGACAAATGAGCGTGACTACGAGAGCGTGGTGATGATGAAGATGAGGCAGGCTGCTGAGCGACAGAGACTCATAGAACAAATGCAAAAAGATGATGAAGAGGACACTTCTGGGTCATAGCAACAGGATCCAGCTCAGTACCAGCCTGCAACTATTAAATGAATACCTGTTTCAGACTTTAGTTTCATAAAGCCTCATAAGTGTTTTGTTATTATTTTTTGTATGTAATACACTGTAAGGCAGAATAAATCTTTTTAATAACGCAAAAGAAACTTTTTTTTTTTTCCAAATCTCTGGTTTTAATCAGGTTGTTGTGTCTTTTTTATCGAGAATGTAGGATGACTGAGGGACATACAGAATAGAGAAGAGGGCTCCTGCAGGATTCAGTGTTAAGCTGTGTGGTCCCTGAGGTAGGAGTCCTTATACCCAGGCTCTGGGGTTGAATCAGTACCGCACACTATCTAGTATAACCATATTATACACCGGTATAATTATGTATTTTTTTGCATCTGTCAACCATTGTCTGGTTACCTCATTATTGTAACCAACTCGACAGAGCAATGTAATGTAGTCATTCCTTTCTGTTGTCTGCATACACAATGAGTAACTCAGTAACTAATAAGTTGAGTGTTACAGCAACCCAAACCGCAGACTGCAATGTGACTACGTGGAAATAATTTCTCCCCCATATTAAACCAGTAATTAGGCTGAGATATGAACACTAGGTAAGCTTTTATAGGAATTCTTGTGGCCTCGTGATGAAAAGTGAAAATACTCTGAATGACCTCTATTATAGAGCTAGTGGTTTAAATGGTTGTTCCGTGGACTTTGTATACAATATATCTAAAGCTTACTCCTGACTGAAGAGGCCTTGTGGACTCCAATCTCTATGCAAAAAGTTTATTAGACAATACTGTTCTATATATTCTCACGTGTGTCTATTCAGTGGGAAAATGGAGCTGGGAAAAGCATAGCTTAGCTTAAAGCAATCTTGGAGAAATCCATTACCACAACAAATATGACAAAGAGCGAACAACAACACATCGAGTAATATAACTAACTAACTATGGTGTGGTTTTGCAAACTACAGGCTACAGTTGCTGCTGCGAAGCAAACATGCACAGAGGAATGAGACAGTTTCGCAGAGCCAGCACCCCAGCTCCAGACTGTAATACTCACAACTCTCCTGCAACTATAGCCAACATCACAACAACAGCATATCATGGCAAACTGGAAAGTAAGCTGATCGTCTGTGGGCAAGTAGTTTAACGTTACCTGGAACACAGATCCTGGCTGGGAAAGATGGATTAACAAGTTAGTGTTGTGGCTCAGTCTAATCCACTTTGTTTGTTTCCTGTTGACAGAGCCTGGGCTGTGTACAAACACCAAACAGCTAGCGGACTGTGAGTTGATATTTGGAAAAAAAAGATGATTTGAAAAAAAGTGTATTGGATTTGAATTGCTTACCCCACCTGAAGACTAAACACATGGGGAAACTTGGCTCAATCCACCTACAGTTTAAGCACCTTTAAAGCTCACTAATTAATACATTTTATCCAACTAGTTTAATCTGATCAAAATGACACATTGTGATTTGACAGGGGGTTGGATGCTGACTTATTTCTTGGCAGGGAGAGGGGACTTTCTGTCTTGTTGTCACCGTTATGTTGCCAGGCAACTAGCGGAGACCCCGGGAAGTCACTGCTCCCGGCCAAGAAGTTGTCTGGCGCGTAACCCCCTCGTACAACCGCATCTGGCTCCAGCTAAAAATTGAATGGACAGACGTTCGAGTAGTATCAACCTTCTCATCTAACTCTCAAGCAAGTAAGCAAATTGCTTTTTTTCTTTGCATATTCAAAGAACCATTGCTTTACTCACCAACTGAAAGGCTTTCATTCAAAGAGTCCTGAAACAATTTCTGAGCAACTTCTACCATGTGAGAGCTGCTACACTGAGCATGAACAGCACATGAACATCCATTTTTACTTAAAACCAGAAATGGGTGTGCTTATTTTGGGGCAACCTATGGTGCTATTATTGCAGCAAAACTATTTACAAATGTGAGTGGAGAGTTGTGTAACTATCTCAATCTGTGTGTGCGTAATCAGATTTGTAAATGCGTGTATAGATCTGAAAATGTGGGGACAAATCTGAATCTACAAAGTATTTGAGCTGGAAATACAGACAAGACACAGACTCTGAACACACAATTGCAGATTCCTGTTCACATTCACAAATCTCAGTACATATTTTCACTCTCCACTCACATTTGTAAATAGTTTTCCTACAATAATGTCTCCACACAACCCATCTAAGTGTTTCCATTTCATGCACTTCACTCCACCCATGGCACTGATGGATCATGTCACAGGCTGTGGACCAGCTTAAATTGAAGAACATGCCACTTGCTTCAAAAACTGTCTTATGTTCTGTCCTATGATACTGACCTCAACAAATTTTCTCTAAGTTGTTGTAAGCTGTTTCACAATAGGCTTATGTAACAGATACCTAGAAGACACTGTATTGCTTATTTATGTTCTCTGAAGTGACACGCTACCACTCTGTGACCCACATTAAGTCAGACATTACAGTGCCAGACTGCTGCGGTCACCATGAGTTTTGTAACAAGGTCCTCTGCCTGTGGAACATCTATCCATCCAAATAGTCTTATTTTCCTGTCCCTTGGGGGAACTATGGCGTAATGGTGTGTCTGTATTTGTGGGCCTGTGTGGTGGCGCTTTCTCCTGTCATTGTGTTATTTAGGAGCCACATGGCAGCTTTGCAACATCCAACCCAGTCATCCATCTCTCTGCGAATCCTGCTCCTGCCTCTCCGTGGCTCTGTTACACAATGTCCAGCTGTGAAGCGGTGTGGCGTGGTGGGAGACATCTGCTCCTCTCCTCCTGCAAAATCCCCTCATCACATGGTTTTGTTTATGCGTAGCTTTTTTCATATCCCAGCAATGTGAAAAAAAAGCCCAGAAACACACAAACTCTGTCCAAATGACAACAGAGGAAATACAATTACAGGAAACACATTCACCACCAACCCTGCCCTGAGCCCACAGTGGCTTGTGCTGCATGCGAACCAGCGATGGGAGGATGAGCCTGTTTTATGCTCCATCCTATCAACCATTACAGCAGAACCTTGGAATCTTCTTTGCATCTTCTTCCGCCCCGTGTTTTCCTTATATTGTCCATGTCAAACCTGTCACATTGGTGAGTGGAACAGTATCTGGAATCTTCGTGGTCACAGGACTGGGAAGCACCAGCACCTTTTGATCTTCAGCGTGGAGGTGGAAGTTAAGTCATGTATGAGGCAGCAGGATTGGTAAGAGTTTGGCTGTGAGCTGACTGGCAAAGTTTCTGGTTTGTGTGTTAGTGATCCGGGCTGGCCCCAGACATCTGCTGGCAGACCTGGGGCTGTAATGAAACCACCCAGCGTTTTTTGGCTCTCACAGGCAGACCTCTGTGTGACTGCAGTGCTAGTACCTCATCGCGGGGCATGCAGCGTTCCTGTAAGGTGCCACAGAGCTACAAGTGCTCGCAATAAGAGCGTTTATCATTTTTCATAATGTGGATTATCAGAAGGCTATATACAAGTCTTCCATTTCGTCTGTGTTAAATCTAATAAGGACTGCAAGTTGTTTTCTTTTATGAATAAGTTCACAAGTAATCCACATCATTACATCATTTAATCATTAGCATATAATACACTTACAGAAGCATCTTTACACACAAATGTATCTAGCATAGTGTTTGATTTTCTTGGGTGAGGCCTATTGCACAGGCTGAATTTCCAGACATGCCTTTAATTAAGTTCTTACGTATTTTACGTATGTTTTTTAGCAGAAAAACTTGCCCCCACTGCCAGTAGTAAATAGCAAACAATATGTCTCGTAAAATCTCTGGAATGTAGTTTGATGTTCCCCTGAAATTGGTGACCTGTCACCCGTTGAAGGTAATCTGAAACTTTACGTCTGGGATAATCTTAATCTAAGAACTTTAGTTTCTTTTGACAAAAGGCTGATTTAGAATCTGTCTGTGTGTTAAATGTAGAGCCGAGAAGCAACGTTTAAAAAAAAAGTTGACTAAGTTCTTCATCACAGTTCATTCATCCTTTTAAGGCTTATACAGGTATTTTGATATGGGAGCGTATCTATGTTCCCCAATCCCCTAACCCTATCACTAGAACTGGGGACCAAAGGACCATTTGTCACGTTCCCATTACATTCCCATTATGTGCCATATAAATGTGGGGAACACAGCAATGACCCCTTTTAATACAGTCAACAGTCTGATCACTCCGTCTCCTTGTGGAGGCACCACACCAGCGTCTGTCCCACCCCCGTCATCGTCAGCACACGGAAGCCGATCTTCTCCAGCTTGTCCAGCACCAGGCGAGGAGGATCATCCACATGGTACTCGGAACTAAATTAGCATAAACACAAAAGTAATTCTACTTTCCACAGATGTGGGATTTCTCTGTCTTTTGGTAAACTTTCCTTGGAAAGTCGAATGCTGTTAATTGTTCTAGTGCTTGTTCACTTCCTTCCACACCTTGGTTCATTTCCCAGCAGCATTTGAATCAGATTGCCAATGACAACACTTCCCTGATCTGTATTCCATCAGCTTGAATAGTCTATTCTAAATCTGCAAAGCAACAGCCTTCCTCAACCACATTGGGAGTTTTTTCCCCTCCATGTGACCTGATCTCAGCTCTGTCGTCAATATGTATGTAGTCTAACTGCTGAAATGAAAGAAACACCGGTGTTAAGTGCCTAAATACAGAAATGTGGCTCAGTGTGAGCACATATACAGCACACCTGGGAGTGGATTCTGCATGTGTGTGCAGGCAGTTTAAACATTACGGCTTACTAGTCCCTGTTTGCAAAATTGGGGTGGAGATGGTTTCATAAAAATGATAAAATCAGGATAGAAATTCTACATCCCTTGAGGGACATTACAGTCTTGGTGCTTTTGTGGATGATTCCTTTAGCAGAACTGTGCCTACAAATCTCTCATTTTACTTTCTATCTTAAGGGAATGCCTAAATTTGACTATTCACCTGCAGCATTTACTTAATATACCCCTACTACAATATCGGATTGCCCTTTTTTCAATACTTACAAATTGTTTCCCAGCATGGTTGTTTTCCTTGCTCCCAGGTAATTCATGACAACTGGATCAGAATATTCATCTCCCACATTTGTTGGACCGTTCTCCTGTAAGAAGTGATTAAATACATTAACCAAAGAGCTG